AGGGTCTAAACCACCAGCCTGGGAGCACTTAGGGAGGGATCCAGGGCTTCAGTTGAATATGTAAGAGTGGAGGGCCCTGCTGGGCATAGGTGGAAGAAGAGAACCTTGACCCCATGAAGGCTGGATGCCCCAGGGGGTGGGAATTTTGAGGGTGGGGAGGTGGGAGTGGGGGGGGTAGATAGAGGTTACATCCACAGAGAAGAAGGAGGAGAGGTGAGGGGATTGGAGGTTCCTGGGTGGGTGGGGGATGGGGTAAGAGGACAACATAGGAAATGTAAATAAAACATCCAATAAAATTTTTTAAAAAAGATCTTCCTATAAAAGCTCTGAGCAACTTGCACGATGGCATTTGTGATCAACTTTGTACTTTTCAGAGGGAAGAAAATGTAGCACCTACTGAGTATTTACCTAATGTCAAGAAAATAAATAACATTTCTACTTAGGAGTTAGAAAAAAAAAAGAAATTCCTTTAGCCTAATAAAAGCTGTCTGTAAAAACTGGCTCCTAAAATCATACTTAAAGAGGAAACACTGGTTGTTTTCTTCTTAAGATCGGGGCCAAGAATAGGATGTCCCATCTTGTCATACGTGCCGGGCAGTGTGGCACATGACTTTAATCCCAGCACTTGGGAGGCAGAGGCAGGTGGATTTCTGAGTTTGAGGCCAGCCTGGTCTACAGAATGAGTTCCAGGACAGTCAGGGCTACACAGAGAAACCCTGTCTCGAAAAACCAAAGAAAAAAAAAAAGTTACCAAAAAAAAAAAAGAAAACCAATATACAATGGTTAAGTGTATTTTGAAATTAATAAAAACGTCATTTACAAAAGCCTCTGAAGAATAAAGCATTCAGGCAAAAGAAGTACAAAATGTATGTATTGAAATTATAAAGCACAGATGAAATCTAATAAAACATAAATAAATACATAAAAAGTCAACCTATACTCACAGATTGAACAATAACCTGATAATATGGTGATGCTCCCTGAATTGATTAATATTTCCAACAAACTTCTCATCAATCCTCTCTCCATCTTTTCCCCCTACCATTCACAAGCTGACCCCAAATTAACATGGAAGAGTCCTGTATGTTCATGGAAGGGATGATATGACATGGTTCCTGCCCCTGGAACAGAGCCAGAAGGGCATGGGCCTCCACGAGTGTTGATGGTTGCTGGATGTGAGACTTTGTGTGTGTGTATATGTGTGTGTGTGTGTGACTTCATTCTCCTCTTTCAGGGAATGCTCTCCCTGCCAAAATTAATGACTCCATGATAAGTAGAGACAGCACAAATCTGGGAGGTGAGGGTGTATCTAATGTCCTTAAATTCTGTGACCTTCAGGATAGCTCTTAAGGCTATTGCAAAGAACTCTGAAACCATGAGTTCAAGAAATATAGGATGCAATATGAACTGTATAAGGAGCTTCACGGACCAAAAAGAAGGGAGGCAGTGGTACTATGAGCCAGCTTGTCAGAAATATATTACAGAAGGAGATAAAGAGATTTGGGGAGTGGTGATTACAGGACAAGATCCCACACCCAGATAAGTTTATTGTTTGTACTTCCAAAGGCAGACAGATTCCTGAGTTCAAGGTCAGCTCAGGACAGATTGAGATTAGGCCCAGGTATGGTGGGAATGGTGATCAGAGAGTGAGATCCTACCAAAATAGCTCATTATCTGTGCTTACAGAGATAGGCAGATCTCTGAATTCATTTGCAATGTTCAAGAAAAGTGCTTGCTGTCTTTTTCTAAGAATCCAGGGGCTAAGGTTATGGGATGCTGCTTCCTGGGATAATCAAAAGAGAACCTTGAATAAATAATCAAATTGATATATGTAAATAAAGGACTGGACTTTGGTCTATAAGAGCAGAGCTATCTGGATGAACTGTCTGGAAGAGTTGGCAGAAGCAGAATACAACTTTTACCCTACAATTGACCTTGAGTCATTCTTTTAGCTGCTCCCAAACACTCCTTCCTCAGAACCCCTCTCCAACCTGAGGCTGGTCCTTGGCAAAAGCAAGCATCAACAATAATGAAAATAATCTTGAAAAACAAGCACAAAATTGAAAGATGCACATGTCGTGATTTTATAACCTCCTGAAAGCTTCTGTAACAAGGTCTACTTGCAAATGGATAGAAATGCAAATAAATGGAATAGAAGTTCAGAAATAAGCTCTTAAATTTAAGGCCAACTCATTTTCTAAGAATGCCAAGACTACTTGATGGAGAAAGGAATATTCTTTTCAACAAATGGTGTTTGGACAAATACCACACACGAAGTACAAAGTTATATTCCTATCTTATAGAATAGTAAAAAAATTAAAGGGATAGTGACACAACTTATCAGCTAAAGTCACTTGCTGCCAGACCTAAAGAACTAAACTCAATCCCTAGTATCCACATGGTGAAAGGAGAAAATCTATTCTAGCAAGTTGTCATCTTATCTCCACATGAACACCTTGGCACCCCACACCCAAAAATAAGTAAATAAAATGAATTCAAAATGGAACAGAGACTTAAATATGATAGCCAAGCCTATTATAAATTTAGAAAAGAAACAAGTACCTCAAATTAGGTAAAGCATTCTTAATTTAAATTTAATTTTGTGTGCGAGCACGAACGTGTGTGCCTGTGCATGGCTGCTAATCTGTACATATTCCATGTGTGTGATACAGTGATCATGGAGGCCAAAAGGAAGCATTCGATCACCTGGATCTGGAGTCACAGCTGACTGTGCATTGCCACTTGTAGGATCTCCACAAGTACTCTTAACTCCTAAGGTATCTTTAGCCCCCAAAACCATAAATATAAACAAAACATGCAAATGACAAGAAAATGGATAAATCTAGTAATTAAAAATATTTGTGTTATAAGTGATACTTATCAGTGATGTGAACAGATAACTCACAGGATGGGAAAAAGTCTTAGCAAATTTTATCTGGGTATGTATGTAGGATATGTAAGTACCCCATAATAAAAAGACAAACAGCCCAACTATTTGAACAAACATCACTTTCTCATCAGCAATCCAAGTTAACATTATCAGGAATAACACAAAGATATTGAGTATCCTCTGTTATGAGGCACTAAACAATATGCAGTATCATTTTTGTGCTATTCCTACCCCAAATAATAACACACGTATAATTATGAGACAATAGAAAAGAAACCCAAATTAAAGGACTACACAACATATAAGGCCTGTGCTTTTTGAAAGTATTAAGTCTTCAAGATGAAAGGAGACAGAGATGGCCACACTCAAGCATCACATGACCCTAGATTGGACTGTGAACCAAAGATAAAATACCTTGTTTTGCTATAAAAGGCATTAGGATGGAAAGTAAGTAAAATTTTGTACTAGATTATGATGCCATGTCCATCTTAATTACTAATTATATAACTATAATAAGTATATAAGTGAAGATTTCTTGTTTTTAGGAACTATACTGGAATATGTAGAGGCAATAAGGCATTATTTCTATTGCTTATTCATCAGTTTAGAGAAAACATGCATATAGAAACTGTAAAATGACTTAGTAAACGGGCTTGCATTGAGGGATTCTGGGTAAAGCATTCATGGTAATTCTTTTTTGAAACTTTCCTACAGCTTTCAACATTTTTCTAAATAAAAAGTACATTTTTAAAATGTTGGGCAAAGGACTTGAACCACATTTCTTTAAAGAGAGTATAAAAAGTATCCTATCAACAAATGAAACGATGCCTAGAACTATTTGTCAATAGAGAAATGCAAATCAAACACACAATGTGATTCAACAAATACCTACTATGACAGCTAGTACTAATAAAAAACTAGACAATGAAGGACAGGGAGGTGAAGAAGTTGGAACCTTCATATATTGCTAATGGAAATGTAAAATGGGAGAAGGGTCTAGTATTTTGATCCCTAATTCTACAAGCTTGGTGTACTCACAAATCTTGTATATGGATGTACACAGAAGTAAAATTCATAATAATCCAAAAGCTAGAAGCATCTTACATGACCAGTAACTGATGAACAGACAAATAAAATGTACTATTAGTTCTATAAGGGAGTATTGCTGCTAAGGCCTCCAAAGCCACAACAAAGTATGGGTACATGGTATGTCATAGAAGACTCTTAAAAACTGGACACTACAGAAAAGAAGCCAGGCATGAAAGGCCACATACTATGTCACAACATGTATACATGATGACCAAAAAATTCCTAGAAAATAGATTGGCAGTTGTATAGGGCTGAGGTTATAGAGGGTTTGGATAAGAGAAAATGGTAAGTGAATATTAATGGCTACTGGGTTTCCTTTAGGAATAATGAAAATATTTTCTTTTATTTAGTCTTCAGTGTAGAATTTATTTTTTATTGGATATTGTATTTATTTACATTTCAAATGTTCATCTTTCTGGTTTCCCCTCCGCAAACCCCCTATCCATCCCTCTCCCCCCTGCTTCTATGAGGGTGCTCTCCCATCCACCAACTCACTCTCACCTCACTGCTCTAGCATTCCCCTGGGGCATCAAGTCTCCACAGGACCAAGGCCTCTCCTCCTATTGATTCCAGATAAGGCCATCCTCTGCTACATATGCAGCTGGAGCCTTGGGTCCCTCCATGTGTACTCTTTGGTTGGTGGTTTAGTCCCTGGGAGCTCTGGGGGTCTGGGTGATTGATACTGTTGTTCTTCCCATGGAGTTGCAAATCCTTTCAGCTCCTTCAGTCCTTCCCCTAATTCCTCCACTGGGGTCCCTGTGCTCAGTCTGATGTTTGGCTGCAATTTTCAAATTGTATTATGATGGTTGTTAAAGTCTGGAGCTACATTAAAATTATTAGGTTAAAAACTTTAGATGGTTGCAAGATATGTGGATTCTATCTCAATGTTGTAAAAACAATTGTATATGAATTAAAAATTTCAAGAAAGATAGTAAAGTTAACAAACATTTTTCATAACAAAGATCCTTCAGTATTATCTGCCATAAATACATTACACATACCTAAATTAGCTATAACTCACCTATTACACTGGTCTTCAGTGGAAAAGTAGATTTGAAAGTCATCAGAATTATCATGGACATAAAGAAAACAGCACCGTTCATCAAACTTGGACAGGCTGTAAAATTTCAAAACATAAGAATGCTTATACAAAGCCAGGTTCGGTGGTATACACTTTTAATCCCAGCACTGAGAAGCAAAGATAGGTAGATCCCTGAATTTGAGGTCAGTCTGGTCTACAGAGCAAGTTCCAGGACAGCTAGTACTACATAGAGAAACCTTTTATAGAAAAAACAAACAACAAAACCAAAGAGGATGCCTATACATACACTATGATGTCATTTTTAAAATTTTTTTCATAATTTACTTTTTTAAATTCACATTACATCCCAATCACAGTTGTCCCCTCTCCTCTCCTTACAGCCCCACCCTTACAAATCCCTCTCCCCATTACTCTGTCCCCTTCTCTGAAGGGGAGCCCCCTTGAGGACCACCCTGCCCTGAGACATCTAGTCCCAGTAGGACTAAGCACCTCCTCTCCCACTGAGGCCCAACCAGGCAGTCCAGGTAGGGGAAGGGGATCCAATGACAGGCAACAGAGTCAGAGACAGCACCTGCTCCAATTGTTTTTTTTTTTTTTTTTACATTTCAATTTTTTTTATTGGATGTTTTATTTACATTTCCTATGTTGTCCCCTTACCCCATCCCCCACCCACCCAGGAACCCCCAATCCCCTCACCCCTCCTCCTTCTTCTCTGTGGATGTAACCTCTATCTACCCCCCCCACTCCCACCTCCCCACCCTCAAAAGTCCCACCCCCTGGGGCATCCAGCCTTCATGTGGTCAAGGTTCTCTTCTTCCACCTATGCCCAGCAGAGCCCTCCACTCTTACATATTCAACTGAAGCGCTGGATCCCTCCCTAAGTGCTCCCAGGCTGGTGGTTTACGGGACCCACATGAAGACCAAGCTGCATGTCAGTTACAAACCAATTTTAAATTTTAAGGAAAATTGAAAAAATCTAGCTTATATTTGTGTCTACTTTCTGAGTTCCTGATTTTATTAATCATTATTTTTAAAGTATTTTTATTTTTAAATTATACATAAATATACGTGTGTGTGTGTGTGTGTGTGTGTGTGTGTGCCTGTGTGTGCCTGTGTGTGCCTGTGTGTGCAGGTTCTGCAGAGACTAGAAGAGGCTGTGGGATCCTTTGAAGCTGGACTTACAGGTGATTGTGATCTAGCCAACATGGGCACTGGATCTGAAGTCAGGTCTTCTACAAGAGCAGTGAATGTTCTTGAACACTGAGCCCTCTCTAGCCCCAATGCTTCATTAATCTTTAGCAAATATGCCACAATTTGACTTTTCTTACTCCATGAAAGTTAAATTTAGAGACACTTATATTGCAAATGTATTTTTCAATTGATTTTAATATGTATCAAGAGATTCCTATATATTCAAGGGCAAAGAAAACATGGCCAACAGAAAAAAGTAGAAAATATGATCTCTGTCTTCTAGTTCATAATCTTACAAAAACAGAAAGGTAAGAGTATTTATGAAATAATAATTGTCTCAAAGGAATTTTGACACTTAGAAAGTATTAGGACATTCATGGTCAAGGCATGTAAACTTGAGAAAGACCATTAAATATTTTCAGTCTATTTCTACCCAATTTCTGGACCTGACATACATAGCTTCAAACAAGCAATATTCACTTTGCTTAAACACATCCAGTGAATGAAAGTCATCACACTAGTATCTACTTACAGATTTCTGTTAGAAAGTTCATTCACATTGGGTCAACATGTAATAAATAGCCCTCATTCTGCCAGAGAATTGAGTCCAGTGTACCATCTATACAATTAGTTCTTCAAACAAATGAAGCCACTTTATCTGGCCCCTTGTTGGTCATTTCTTTTGATCCAGAACCTGTCTTTTTTTTTAATTGGTTATTTTCTTTATTTACATTTCAAATGTTATCCCCTTTCCTGGTTTCCCCTCCTGAAACCCCTTATCCCATCCTCCCTCCCCCTGCTTCTGTGAAGGTGCTCCCCCACCCACCAACCCATCTACTCACTCACTCCCACCTCACCACCCTAGTATTCCCCTATACTGGGCATCAAGCCTCCACAGGACCAAGGGCCTCCCGTCTCATTGAGAACCTATCTCTTATCTGTTTATTTGAGATGAAATATTGTTGTATAGTTCAGGGTGGTGTTGAGCTTACTATGCAGCTTCAGCTAGACTCCAGATCATGATTCTTCTGCTTTAGCCTCCCAATAGAGCAAAAATGTCTTAAACTATCCTTAATGCTATAGATGACACAAAGAAGATGTATTAAAACAGCAACAGCTTAGGGTGATTCAAAACAAATTAAAGTTAGGTTATACATGAGCCAGGTATGAAAAAGGAATCTACAAAAAATAACTACAAGAGGATCCAAAGAATGCCTGTCATGTTATGCTAGTCCTGAGGTCTTAGCAGAGCTCTATGTAAATCTCTACTGATGGCTGAACTGAAAGCTAGCGGTATTTCTATGAAGTAATATAAACAAAAGGCCATGTTGACATTTTGTACATTACTGCCACATTAAGATAATCTTTTCTCCTGGTTTCAAGGCAGCATTATACAAATACACCATTATCCCTATTTAAGCACTGATGTTTTCAGGACAAGATCATCCTGGGTGTGAAGGTAATAAAGGATTCATTCAGTGGCTTTTGAGTTTATGTTTTATGTCTTATGTTTAGAGAAAGGACAGAAAAAAAAAAGCTCTACCTCAAACTCTTATTTGATTAAAACAGAAAAAGCAGAATCCTATAGAGGCTGGGTGATTTTTATAATGCCACATAGCAAAGAGAGAACTCATATCTACTTCACAGTAAACTCCTACCTTTGGACGTCCTGGTAAGTTGATTAGGGCATCTGAGGTATGTTAGTGTGGCTTGGGATAATTTATGAAAGCTCACCATTCATGATTCCCAATAGCAAGTGTCATACTTTTAGGAATTTATCATCTCTGTTCTTATTAACAGTACCCCTGCCCCCAGAGCTCTATTCAGGAGGCCTACTCAAGTTCTAGATGCAAGTACTGACTTCAGCCCTGGGGGGTACTGCTGCTGCTGGTGGTGGTGGTGGTAGAGGAGGAGGAGAGCACTTGAAATTGTTTCTAAAGAGATAATCTTTTTTTCAGTCAACATTTTCTCTTTAAGGTATGATAACTAATCATTCCTTCTACAGGACTGGAAGTTACCATATTACAAGTCAAGAGGCTCTTAGTAACAGCACACTGTGAACATCATATGGGGCAACAATAAAAAAAAATATTCTGTTAAGTTCCGTTAAAAATAAAAACATCACATCTTATAAATGAGTGGAAATATCAAAGTACCTTAAATACCACCATTATTTGTATTAAGACAGACAGTTACGCTGGGCGGTGGTGGCGCACGCCTTTAATCCCAGCACTTGGGAGGCAGAGGCAGGCGGATTTCCGAGTTGGAGAGTTCGAGGCTAGCCTGGTCTACAGAGTGAGTTCCAGGACAGCCAGGGCTACACAGAGAAACCCTGACTCGAAAAAAAAAAAAAGAAAAAAAAAAGACAGACAGTTACATCTTTCTCTTATGTTCTTACCTTATTCCTTTAATAGAAGAGGCTGCAAAATTCCACTCATGGATTTGTTTCTGCAAGTATAAAAGATGGAAGTCAAGAGCTTGATTTTTCTCAATAAAGTATTATTTCTGATTTTATCCTTTCATCAATTATTTCTTCTAGTTTAGTGAAATAGTGATTAGGGGTTAGAGCAATATACTTTACAAAACTTGGAACACACAAAACATTTTCTGAGGTATGAAAATTCATGCCTCTGATCCAGTTTCGAGAAAACAATATACATTTGAAATACGTAGCTTGGGATAGATACACTACACACATTGAGTAAGTAGTCTTTCCTCTTCTGTCAACACAGTAGGCAAACTCTGAAATAGGCATAGGAACAGCCCACCTCAGTTATAAAAATATTTGGAGACATAAGACTGACAAACCTCATTTATCTTTGTTTCAGTCTGTCCCTGGGCTCACAGCTAACCACATTTCTGTCTCCCTTGCAGTTAGATGAGGCTATATGACAGCGTCCTGACCAATGGGGTGTGAGAAGCTCTTAAAAACCTCCATGAAAGCTGAGCATAGGGGCACAAGTCTATAATCCTAGCAATAAAAAGGCAAAAGATTGCCGAAAATCCAAGATTGGTCTGATCCACACGGTAAAATTGCAGGCCATCCAGGGCTACATGACGAGAGCCTGACTCAAGTATTTAATATACACTGTGCAGGAAAAATGCAAGCACATCATGGCAGCTCATCCTCATTAATGATTTCTAACTGTATTTTCAACAAAAAGATTGCTCCAGAGTTAAATATTAGACAAGGTTAATGGTCTTCACTTGAGATTTGACTAATCTGCTAAGGTATTTCTAATCTGAATGTGAGCCTCTGTTTATTTTACCATGCTGTATTCTATTTGTGAAGATAATGCTTATTTATGCCTGATAACACAATCATTCCCATTTTTGCTAACAGAGAGGAAAATAATCTTTCTTTGCTCAGCTAATGGTAGAAGTTCCCCCCATACTCCATGGAAACACACGTACAGCAAATAAACCTATCTAATGTGCTTATTACATGCACTACGCTTCATGACTACAGAATTTATGAGAAATAAAGTATTTTAGATAAGCAGATGAAGATACTGGTATTACCCAAACCTGAAGACCCAGCTCAACATTCTGTAATCTTTATAATGGGCAATTATAATTGTTATTACAGTATAAGCTTGTATAAATTTCATAGTAACTATCAAAGTTCTAAACATACATACTCTGCAGTCAAGCAAGCCCATCTCTAAGATACAAACTGGCATGTCATTGGCAAGGGTGAAAAATGGAAGAATGGTATTAAGTATCAGTGAGAAAGGGGAAATACAGTAAGTACATCTAGACTGTGAAACATACCATACAATAGGAAAACATAAGGAATGTGACATTTTAAAAATCAGGTGGCTGGGTGTATGCCTTGTGAAAAATTGTTCAGGATGTATAGAAATCTTTAAAAACAAGTTTCAAAAGAAACAACTGTTAGGTCAATGTAAAAGCACTTGGTTTACAAACCTATGACCTAAATTTGATCCCCAAATCCCACAGTGGAAGGAGAGAACCAAAATTTGAAAGTTGTCTTCTGACCTTCATGTGCAACTGTGACTATACACACATGTATGCGCATGCACACATACATATACACACACATGCACACACATGTGTACAGTATATGTACAGTATCATAATTTAGAGTTAACCATAGGTGCCTATTATCTCTAATACTACCATACAAACTGTCCTATTTCAAAATCAAATCACTGATTAAATAATATAAAAGACAGCACTAGTCCTATTTTTTCCCTTACCATTTCTGTGGGTGAGACATGCCATAAAGAAACAGTTCTTTCTTCAGCTTCATTGTTGATAGAAACGTAAGAAGGCTGGTAAACTTTGGTTGGCTCTATTACCAGAACCTAAAATAAGAGGATTTTTATTTTTTACAAGACAGCAATCACACAGGTGACCCTGCCCATTGAGGAAGTCAAAGAATTTATAATTTATATTCAATGAATATTGAAGAGCAACTATGTCCAGCAAGGCTCTAGCCAGGCCTATAGCATGGCACACAAGTCCCTGTCTGCATGAAGGTTCTGTTCCAAGGAGGGCACCCAGAACACTGAATACACAAAGCTATCCAATCTAATGCCAAGTAACACTCCAAAAAGAGTAAGAAGCAGAAAAGTTGGGCTTGATCATACAGGGAGGTTAAGAAAGGCTTGCTTGAAAAGGTGACAGAAGAAAAAAAGGAAGTTATAGTTTTTGAGATAAATAAGGAAGTAGAAAGGTTGGCCAGCAAGTACCAATATGTACATATGCAAGGAAATGAAAATCGAGTGGTGTTTCATCAGTAATGCTATTTAATTGCTTAAGAACATGGAAGGGCAAAGAGGAAGAAAGTGAAGAAGAGAGAAAGAGGGCAGGTGGAGGTGTAGGTGTGGGGAGCAGATGAGGAAATGAATCTCCCAAACAGAGCAATCAACATGTTTAGTATGGCAAACCTATGTAGGACCTACTGTTTGTTACTGATTTGTACCTATCCAGTTTAAAACATTTTAAAACTAAAATAAGATTTTAAAATGTACTACCCAGAAACAAAAAAAAAACTGTAAGCATTTCCAACAACTGAGTAGTTAATAAAAATTCTTGTTAAAAATACTCATTTTCACAAAAGTCTCATGGCATAAATATGAAATACAGTTATTAAAACACAATGGCTAGAATACTTAGATATCTCACTTATAAAAATTTATGAGATGTACATAAAATTGAAACAAAAACTAAATGAAAAGCTAAAAGCAAGTCTGCTTTTTCAACAAAGTTTTAAATATTAATTAGTAGCACTGGAGGAAAAGACAGCTTTAAATTCCTTGTTCAACGTTTTTAAGGACGAGATTTTTTATTTTCACCCTATTATTTTTGAACCAGATAATTATTGTGTGTGTGAGAAGTACTGTTCCACTCACTGGGGGACATTTAGCAGTCACCCTAGTCCTTATATCTTATTGACTGTATCATCAACTCTTACCCCTAGTTCTAACACCCAAAATGTCTACAAATTCTGCCAAATGTCTCTTGAATGGAACAAAATTACATTCAGTCAAGAGACAATATTTGAGAGGACATGAGCAACTTTGTCTCAGAGTCTAACTTATCATTTGCTGATCCCACAGACTATTATCCCAATATTATAAGTTGCAGTTTTCTTCCTTTTTAAAGTTTTTCACAATTATGTAGCATAAATGTCTAGTTTCTTCTGTCTATCTTAAAGGATTAGGGTTGGTGGTATAGCTTAGTGTTAGAATATATGCCTAACATGTACCACTTTTAGGTTCGATCCCAGCAAAGAAACAACCACCCCCCTGTCCATTTAGCAGATCTTACTGGAAATCTGAGTCCATTAGTAACTTCGTTTGTTGCTTCGAAAATGATATCTAACCAGAAGTTAAGTCGTTCCTGCCGGGGTGAGTGTTCTGCAATGGGTTTCTTGAAGCGTTGAATTAACAGCAGGTTCTGAACTAATGACCGCAGATACCTGGAAAAAAGTCACGAACCTCATAAATTAGATTCCTAAAGAAACTGAAATCAATTCTAAACCCTTTAAAAGAAGCTTTTCAAAGCCTTATGCACTTCAATTTGCATTTGTCATGAGCTCTTCATAAAGTCACTGAGCAGACACATAACTAATCACAAGAAATGCAAACAGCAGACAAAATCAATACAACAAAATTCTAAAAGACAAGCTTTTTACTAACACTCCAATTTTAGTACATACTGTCCAATGTTTCTTGGCCTTTTGGCTAAGACCAAGCTTCAGTACGACATCTAATCGTAGTGGAAAGCATGGGATAACTGTTTTAGAAAACAGAAAAAGCAATTACAAAATGGCAATATGTCAAACCTCTTAAAAATTTTTTAAGTAACCTTTAAGTTTTGAGGTATTTTTAGAAATAGTATACCAAAATCTATATATCCTTGATCCAATATGCTCTACTAACAACATCTTGCAAATTCATTGTACAGTATCACAATCAAAATTCTGCCACTGCTATAGTCAAGGTAGAGTTCATGCCCACCACTATGAGCCACCCCCTCATGTTGCTGTCCTACAGTAATAACTATTTCTTTCCCATTCCTATCCTCTCCCTCAATTCCAGCAACTGCTTATCTAAAACCTGTTGCTTTTTACTTACAAATATCATAATAATCTGACCAGGTACACTTTCATGTCAGGAATCCTTGATTCTGCCCACACTTTGCTGTTTTCAAGCAAACTGAATATTTGAAAATATAGTTGTCAGGCAGTGGTGGTCACTTTCTCTCTGGCACTAAATAAATAGGGATGGTTCATATGAAAGCATCATTGTATTATTTGGTTCTTTGAGGATAAAATAAAACATTATTTAGAAAAGTAGACCAGTTTCAACTCTAGCTGACTGGTTTGGGTACTTATGAGGCCTTAATCACCCACATTTGACACATTCTGGCCCTTGTCTAGATGCTAACATTGCTCTAAGCTCTGGAATATCCTGTCTGCTAAGACTGTTTTCCAGGGCTAATGCATGACAGTCTTCACTAACAACATGACTCAGGTTGAAAGCCTTGGTCCATGCACCATATCAGTTTGACCTCTGGAAAAGCTGAAGATGGCAATATTAAGAGCATGAACATTTTGTGCCTACATAATTCATCCTAATAAAAAAGCTGCATATCAAGGCTTATTGAACTTTCCCGGCTGTCAGCACTTTATCCCTAATGTCACATATTGGTGATGGAATAATTATTCCCATCTGTAGATATTATTCCACTGGGAGATGGGACTTGAAAGTGTGTACATAATCTCTTCCAGACACATGTTCCAAGTATCTTCTGCCATCACTAACTTAATCTGTATTATTTCAATGTAACAGTCATAACAATGAATGTAATAACATTTCTGAGTTCTGTTTAAGTCCTAAACACCAGACTGGCTTTTAGGTACTGGGCACTCTTGATGGTAAGCACAACATTGTTAGTCAGTTAACCCAGGTACTAATACAAGGGCACTAGATCCAACCCCAGGGTTTCCTTTTTCTGGAGTCTACTCTACTTGGTCCAGACACAGCAGTGAACTTAAGATTAGGATACTATACACAGCAGCCATTCTTGGAGGGCTGGAGACCCAACATGGATGTACTCATTCAGTTCAAGAACTTCTAGAATGTTGATAGGGCCTGGAAACCAAATGTTAGTTTTCTCAGACTGGAGAGAATAAAGATTGAAGAAATGGGAAGAAATCCCTACCCTCAGAATCCAGTTGGTGTATTAAACTGGAAAGTAAGAAGTAGCAGGTGGACATGGGCTATTTAATTTTAAAAAAAAATCAAGTCTGAGTCCTAATCAGAGAATCCAAAATCTGAAATGTTTAAAAACCCCACACTTTTTGAGTGTTGAGTCTACATCTCTGTGTTTATTACAGCACTGTTCACATTAGTGGAATCATACAATCAGCCTAGGTGTCCATCAACAGGGAAAACAAGGTATACATAAACAACTGAATATTATCTGACTATAAAGAATGAAACTATACTATTTGAAGGAAAATAGATGGAACTAAAGATCATCAGGTTAAGCAAAATAATCCAGGTCATGGAGGAAAAATATGGGGAAAAATATTTTTAATTTTAGAAAAGACTTGAAAGTAAAAGAGGTATTATTTTGGGATAGGAAGGAGACCAGAGGGAAGGAAGAGAGGTGGGAGAAGGTAATGGGGGTGGCTGTAGCCATCATGCAGTTCACCCATGCAGAACTGAACAATGAAATCCACCATTTTGTATAATTAACATACACACACAATTTAAGCTTTGGGTTTTGAAACAGTTCAGATTTGGTTAGGGATGTTCATGTAGTGAAGTCTATACAAATAGTAAAAAATCCAAACTCCCAAATCTCAGATGCTTTAGAGTCCCAAGTATTTCAGATAAGGAATATTCAACATGAAATAGATCTGTATTTTAGAAAACTCAGATAGCATCCATAAGAGAAAACACAAAATTAAAACTTGTATAAGGTCATCTCTTTAAGATAAGCACTGTCAATATCTAGGATAACATCTCTTTATCATTTACTCATTATGTAAGTGTCTACTAAGCATTTTTATGAGACTATAGTATTCAATAAGGTAACTATGTAATTCTAATGAAGCTTCATGTATCTATGGGAAAGTCTGATATTGCCCATCCTTTTTCCATGAGTAGCATAGCAGGTATACATTTTTAAATTAAAACTAGAGAAAATAGTTCTCCAAGTGTAGTTCTCCAGGAATAGGGATAGATTGTGGAGTAGGGAGGCAGTATAGCAACTGAGAAGGATGCCAACATCCTTGAAGAGGGTCAACAGAATACCTTCTGTCACCACAAAGCCCACAATGGCTAGCAGACCGCTGCATGCCTCCAGCTCAGGAACATCATTTTCTTGGTGGTGTTTTTCAGCCTTATTATATAAGCCTTATTACAGACACATATAAATACTAATATCAAACAGCATTTTGCTCTTGAAGACATAAACTAAAAAGAGTCAAGAGGACTGACAGTCTAGTCTCAGGGATAGAGCATGCAAGGATACATTCCAGGTGAGCATGTATCTGTCTCTTCTACGCTGCACATAAAAGCAATGAACTCTCAGAGCTGTTATGTCTATCTTAACCGCTTTAATGAGGAAGTTAGGTAGTTGGTGCCCTGTTGCATTTCACATTTTCTCCTTGAATGAGACATTTCAGAACAGGATAACATTGGAGACATGAGATTACTAGGCACAGATGGGACTTACCAGACCGGGGGTTTCAGTTTGAACAACCTCTCTGCTGCCTGGACAGCCTTCCCAATATCACTTGCCAGCATGCTGACGGTGAAGAACTGACCTACATCCCAGTAATTGTTCATTTTCTCCAGGCTCCCTTTTCTTCCCAATAAACTGTTCAGCCGGACACCTTAAGAATTTGAATTTTGATATCATGAAAGAACTTTCTAGTTCTGACATATTATATAAGACTTTAGGAAAAGGACAAGCAGGCAGCCATTTTATTTGGCTGCTCTCTCAGGTATGCTATTGGAAAGTAACTGGAAAGCATCATTAGCTATTTGAAATACACACACACACACACAATCTCAAGTCTTGCTATGTAGGTCTGGTTATCTGGAAGTTACTATGTAAAACAGGCCAGTCTCATTTAGGGAGATTCACCTGCCTCTAACTCTGACTTCTGAGTGCTGGAATTAAAGTTGTCTATCACCATACCCAACAAATTGAACAGATTTTTTTAAATGTTCAATTTGTATAACTAAAACATAAATGCTTGCAATAATAAACAGCTTTACCTATTTTCCTTAGTTCCATTGAAGTTTCAAACTGTTGTCCAGAAACTATCAGCAAAACTGCAAGGTTAATTCCCGAATAAAGTGATGACTGGAGTTCAAACCCTTTGCGATACCTATAATTACAGACCCACCAAATTATTACATCATCTTATTTTAAAGTGAAATGTATAGACAATGATACAAAATACCTTCTCATAAAAATAATTATTACTCTAATGTTTTATAGTTCTTGCCATAATCCTGACAAACATGTACACACAACAGTCTCAATTAACCTGTTTTGACAATGTAAGAGCAACACAGTAACTTACACCAAGAAATTTTTAATTTTCATCCTTATATTTTAATCACAAAAGCATATATTGACTAAATAAAAGGGAAATCATATGAAAGCATACAAAAGAAAATTAAAATCCATTATAATCCTCCCAAATGACCCTAATTTGATATTTGAATCTCATTTTAAGTTAAACTCTCAGTTTATATTGGATATTTTTTATTTCATAGAAATGGCATCAATCATGAGTTATTTCTCTACTAGTCATTTGTTTGCTTGCTTACATTATCACAACACTGAATCACTTCTTCATGTATGAAGATAATCCCTGAATTCAACCCTAAGTGGCTATCAATGCAAATGTTCAGGGGAAGCAATGGGAATGAGGTAAAACCAAAGAGTGCCATTTATATAGTTTCATTTTAACTGTCTGCTATATTCTTTACTAGACATAAAATGTTTATCTATTAGCAAGTATGACTTCTATGATAAGGAAAAGCAATTGATTCAACAGAGTGGTAACACAAACATAGATGATACCAAGGATTTACAAACCAAGAGTGATTTTCTTTTCATTTATATGACAAGAGAATATAGTGACCCATTAGCTATTAAAGAGAAAAGTTATTTAGTTGGTTAAAATGTGGTTTTATGAACTTTGGAGGATAACATAGGTACCACCACACAGACCAGAGGACACCAAGAAGTCACTGATAACAAAACTGCAACCTTTCTCTAACCCTGTCAATGTTCTAAGACTTAAAATTTCATATCTTACCAGATTTTCCCATGTTTCTGTCACAATGAAAAGGTATACCAAAGCTAAGCAGGAAAGGCTTTATTCCTAGCACTTGAGAGACTGAGGTGAGAGATTTGCAAAATGAACTCAATATGAACATCACTCTTAAGTAAAACAGGTAGGTAAAGAGATGATATGGGATCATAGTCTTAAGAGAGTAGCTAAGCTGGAACTCTCTATCTAAGGGCCCTAAGGTATGGGAGTGGTTGGGAATCCCAGCAAAGTTTGTGTACAGAGAAATTGTGTACATAGTATATTTCTCTGCCCTTTTGAGTTTGGTAGGCCACATGACTTATTTTAACCAAATGTGGTAGAAGTGAGTTCAAGTGAGTTCCTGAACATAAGCCCCAACAGGCCTTGTAGTTCCCACCTTTACTTTCAATATCAGCTGTCAGATATGAATGGGGCCATATTGGATTTTCTAACCCTGTGAAAACCCCAAGCTGACACCAACTTTAGGAGTGAGACCTAGAAAAGGAACTGCCTTAAAATCCCACAGGATCACAACCCACAAATCGCTACAATGTGGAGCTACTAACAACATTCAGGGACGTTATATAGTAAGACACAGAGGGGACATTCCCTAAAATATACCCATTGCCTAAGTATAGAATACCCAAGATACAGTCCACAGAACTCAAAAAGGTCAACAAGCTGAAGGGCCACCTCAAGTGAGGACACCGCAGTCCCACTGGGGAGGGAGACAAAAGCAACCACAAGTGGGGAGGTAGGGAGGGGCCTGGGAGGGAAATCAGACTGGGGAGGGGGTGGGGAGAGGGGAACCTGATCTGATATTGGGTGAGGGAAAAGGACTGACCCCCTGAGGGCCAGCAGAAAGAATGGACACAGGCAACCTAGGAAGGTAGGAAGTTGAGGGGACCCTCCAGAATGTACCAGAAACCTAGGAGGTGAGAGACTCTCAGGACTCAAATGGAGGGACCATAGTCATAGATGAAATGCCCAACAGTAGGGAGAGGGAACTTATAGAGCCCACCTCCAGCAGAAAGACAGGGCATCAAGTGAGGGATGGGGTCAAAATCCCAGACTCAAAACTCTGACCCATAATTGTTCTTGCCTTCAAGAACTGCAGGGATGGAAATGGAGAGGAGCCTGAGGAAAAGAAGGTCCAGTGACAGGCCCAAAGTGGGATTCAGCTCAAGGGGGGCCCCTAAGGCTTGACACTATTACTGAGGCTATGGAGTGCTCACAAAAAGGGACGTATCATGAGTGCCCTTCAGAATACCCAACAAGCAGCTGAAAGAGTCAGATGCAGATATTTACAGCCAACGAGTGGACAGAAGTTGCTGACCACTGTGGCTGAATTAGGGAAAGGCTGAAAGAAGCTGAGGAGGAGGGAGACCATGCAGGAGGACCAGCAGTCTCAATTAACCTGAATCCCTGAAATCTCTCAAACACTAGACCACCAACCAGGCAGCATACACCAGTTAATATGAGGCCCCCAACACATATACAGCAGAGGAGTGCAGGGTCTGAACTCAGTTAGAGAAGGTACACCTAACCCTCAGGAAGTTTAGAGGTATGGTGGGATGGGGGTTGGAGGGGTGGAGAGGAGGTACAGGATGTGGATCAGTCATAGGGTGGACTGGTAGGAGGATAAAATCTGGAGTGTAAAAAAAAAGAAAAATAAATTAATAATAATAATGCACATCAGATATCATCAGTCCTTGATCAAAACTATTCAATGATGTCCCTTCCCATTTAAGAGAAAAATAATCTTTTTGTCCCATTCATTGATCTTTTTTGCCTATTCTTCACCACTACTTAGTGTGTCCAGCATGGTCACTCCTCCAACATCTTTGCTTTTGCTCTTTCCCTTACGAGGACCACTTTCTTCATAGTTACCTGTGAAGCTTATTCCTTCATTGTCTTCCTATCTCCACCTGCCTTTCACACTATCCTATTGAAAATCACAAACTATGGACTAGAAGTATAGCTCAATGCCAGAGCACTTGCCTAGCATGCACAAAGTCCTGGGTTTGATCCCTAGAAACTCCAAAATAAAACAAAATAAATTAAAAATGTAAGATCATTCTCCCAAACTTCCTTTTACTCTCTTTCCCTGATTACCCACCCCAGGCCTTTACCATCAGCTGATATCCTATAGATTGGATTTGCTTGCTGACTTTTCTTACCAGCAAGGCAAGATCCCCAAAGACAAGGATTCGTATCTACTATGTCTGCTCAACCCATCTAAAAGTGTCTAGCTCAAAGTAAGCCTTCAAGTAAGCCTTCAGTAAATTCAATAAATAAAATCTACTGAATAAAGACAGGCAGACATGAACAGCTTACTGAGAAGATGAAGCCCAATGGTGGTGGAGACAATTCTTGAAAGGGCAGCTGGTGGGTGTATGTGAAGCCTCATTCCTGTCTCATGAATGAGTAGATGAATGGGGTAAGTATATACAACAGGAACCGCTATTTCTCACGGTTTTCTCTCAGACCCAGGAATCTGAACTCTCCTTGATCACATACATATATTGCAATTGTTTTCACTGTCAGTCAGCAGACATACACACACTAGGGAAAGACTTGGCTATTCCGCCTACAAGGTTCTGTTCTATGTAGCATCGAGTGTACTATTTACCACTCAATGGCACTGTCTCGGCTTGCATCCTCTTCACAACCTGAATCCAGGAAGATGTCCTTGTAGATCCTCCCACACAGGCAAAACATGTCAGGAGCTGGGTGGTCACAGCTTTGCAGAACTTGGAGCATGACCTGAAGAGCCTTTTCACGGTCACCTGTGCTGTTTCTCCTGAAAGATAATGTTACGAGATCACAGTCATGTAATTTAAGATGTTGTTCTGCTCAAAGGAAAAATATTTTAAGATTTCTTTTTTCTGTCTGTAGCCTATGATGGGGCTTCTCAGCCCCCACAACCACACAAGATAATTCTAATAATAAATATCATTTTATTTCTATTCTTGCCACCATTTCGGACATGATCTTACATTGTAGCCCTGGTTATTCCCTGAACTCACTGTGTAGACTAAGCTGTTCACTCAAACTTGCAGCAATTCTTCTGTCTTTGCCTCTCTAGTGCTGATACAAACATGTACCACCATGCCAGGCTCTTCTTAGATCTCTGTGTTTCTTATTGGTCTATGGCTATGAAGATTTTTGCCTATAACCACAGTTTTCTCCACTTTTGAATACTTTTAACATTTTTCATAAAAGTAAAAGGTAAACATCCTGACTTAACAATTCTACTTCTAGAATTTATAATATAAAATTCCCCTAACAAATGTTGCAAAAGACATTTGTTGTGGCATTGCTTTTAATAGTGAACAATTGGCGGTAGTTGTAAATGTCTGTTTACAGAATAAATGAACCATCAGATGTATTGTATAACAGCCAACCTATGTAATACTACTATGCAGCTCTTAGAAAGGAATAGATACCTAAATGATAATGTAGAATATACATAATATTGTATGGAAAATGCTAATGGAAAGCATGACCTTCTTCTTTGAAATAAACACTGCTAACATATATGTTCGTGCATATAGACAGATGCCTGGAAGGATACACATTAAACTCTTTAGAAAACTCCTATGAGGACTTACATAAAGTGATATATTTTATGCCTTGTTAATAACTGATAATAATAGTGAATCTTTTACATATTTTGTTGGGACATGCCACTCAGCCCAAGCTGGAATGAAATTCACTATGTAGCCCCAGTCTGGCCTCAACTTCATAGTAATCCTTCTGCTTCAGCCTTCCAAATTCTGAGATTACATGTGCCAACTACTATACCAAGCTTTATTTTAGTAAACCAATAAAAATTATCCTTGATTTCTTGGTACTTTTATAGCAGATTTTAATGTTTTCTTTCCTAAAGACATACACCTCAAAAACATATTTCATCATCCAAGAAGACATAATAGTACCTAAATAGTCTTTCTCAACAAAGGATCCTCTATACAATTAAATCCTACAGAACATTACTGCATCATTTGAATGACTATTTTCTAAATTCTCCCAATGATGGTACATGACTAGCTCCATTGCATATGCATGAGATAAATTTATTATGTCATACAGTGGATTCCATAGGACATTAGGGTTTAATTCCTGTGTTGGAATTCAACCCAGGTTGAGAAGGGCTAATTTAGACACTTGGCATCCTTTCTGGAATCCTGTAGTAACTAAGCATGTTTTCTACTCTGTCTTTTTTTTAATACTCTATTTTGGTCTTGTTTTAATGTATTTTGTTTACCTCTCTGTCATACAGTGTCTAATTTAATCAGCCAGCAAAACAGATTGCTTTTTGTGGCCTATCATGATATTCTTTGTTAGAGCTAACAGATACTAAACCAACTCAAATTTACTAAAGCATCTAGATAACTCATCTATAGTAAGAATGAGGTAAAACAGTTCTACACCTGATACTAGCCAACTTTTGAGTCATGCAATATTCAGGATTTTGCAAAGAAATTAACTAAGCTCATCTAAATACTTAATTATTGATAATTCAAGTTAGAATTTTTTCTGGACTAGTTATACTAAGATTTCCTTTTGAGTTTTTAAATTATTAGTATTAACTCGCACTTATCTTTATTAAAACAAAATGTCTTTTGAATATACACAAAACAAAACAAAAATCAAGCACCTGAAAAAATGAAAAGCCAAGAGATTTTCAGCTTAAAAGCCACTTTAAGACAGGTGCTAAAGAGCTAATACCTACAGTGGTTACTAATCAGCTTTCAGTTCTGTTTATCATTTTCAGATCCCAAGTATCCAGAAACAAGTCCTAAAGACAAGAACTCCTGGGTTTAATCAGTCAGAGGTTTGTCAGTCAATCAGTTTCTGATACTATGACCAGTTTACAATGAAGAGAAAGTAAAGATGACAGGGTCTTAACTGTATTACACATACCTAGGGGTCTTTAAAAGTCTAGAGATCCAGAACGTGCCCCAAATCAATTACCTGTGAATCTCCAGAGATGATATTTGGACCACCATGCCTTTTATTCCTCACATTCTGATCCAGTATGTCTGCACTACTGCTAAGTCTATTGAACAATTCTCAGACTGATTATTTGATCTATGTGTGTATTTGACCTGTGTGTGCATTTGACAACTGTGGCTCCTTTTTCATTCATTTGATGTCCCTCAATCCTGCCTATCCATCAAGCACATGCCACTGGTTTTTATTTCAAACCATATCTGAAGTTAGTCTATTCCTCATGACTTCCACAGTTACCACCATAGCCCAGGCCACTGTCATTCCCTATCATCTCCCTTACTTCTCCACAATCAATTCTTAACACAGAAGTCATTGATCCTGCAACAATTTAATGTCAGGTAGCAAATGGTTCTAATGTAACCTCTCCTGGGTCAAGCTGGGTGGTGGTGTATGCCTGTAATCCCGGAACTCTGGAGGCTAAAACAGGAGTATTGTAAATCTGAGGCCTGGGCTACAGTAAGACTTTGTCTCTAACAAGACAGCAGCAGCAGCAACAACAACAACAAAAACAACAACAAACTCTTCAGGTACTCTTAGCTTAGAAGAAATATCATCTTCTAAATGTTGTCTTCAATACTTCCCAAGATCTTGTAGCTAGTTATTTCTCCAATCTCATCCCTTACTGTCTAACACTCCCTAACATCTATTCTGCTCCAGCTCTGCAAGCCTTCTTACTGTTCCCAATGCTAGTAAGTATATGACACGGCTCCTGATTACTTTCTGACTTTACTCCAGATCACTTTCTAATGAGTAGGTCTTCTCTGATGAGACCACGCTCCTTTCTAGAACATTGTCTTGCAACTGCTGTAAATATAATAGAAGATTTTTAAGGTGTACAAGCATGTGTAGAGTTATTCTTGTTGTAGGAAGTCAGGATGAGGTCAATTCCAGAACTCACAATTCCTACATCCGTTTGCCTGTTCTATGTAGATGACTAAAGGAAAGAGCCTTTGGTAGTAAAGACAGGGATCAACTCAGCTTTTTTAAAAAGAAAAAACAGTAGGTGACAGGATAAAATGCAATCTAGAATCATCCTTAAGCAAAACAAAATTACTTATCCTAAAAATTTTCTTGCTCCATCCTCACTCTCTAAATTTAGTTTAGAAAGCCACAAATTAAAGAGATATTCAGAAACCAAAAGCTGTTGCATGCATTAATCACAGCACTTGGATTCCAGGCCCTGCAAAGATATCAGAAATGGCAGTCCCTGGCTCTTCCTGTACAAATATTGACAAGACAGAAAGAGCAGCAGGGGGACAGGAGGTTGGGGGTTGGGCTAATCACAGTTGAAGTGAATCAAATTAAAAATGCAATCCACTTTCAACCCAGCTATTCTCTAGAACCATAAAAAAGCTATAAATGCTAATCACCAGGCCTAGACAAGGCCTCTAATATTCACAGTAACAAACAAAATAAAAACACACTTCAGACTCAGGACTTTTAGGTATAATGTATAAAATATTGAGATGTGCAGAGAAGCAGAAAAATGCAATTCAATAATCGAAATATAACATAACCAACTGGACTGACTAGTGATGACTTTACTGAAAATAACAACTTGGGAAGGGTATGTTACCCACATGTGCCACCCAAGCATTTGGGAGCCTGAGGCAAGATGAACTGCATGAGGTTCAGGCTAGCCTGAGCTACAGTGTAAAACCCTTTCTCAAAAAAAAAAAAAATCCACTCCAAACCAGAACTTGAAATCAACTATCAAAAATACACTGTGGGCCGGAGAGATGGCTCAGTGGTTAAGAGCACTGGCTGCTCTTCCAGAGGTCCTGAGTTCGATTCCCAGCAACCACATGGTGGCTCACAACCATCTGTAGTGGGATCCGATGCCCTCTTCTGGTGTGTCTGAAGACAGCTACAGACAGTGTACTAACATGCATAAAATAAATAAATAAATCTTTAAAAATTACATTGCTTCTATGAATATTGTACATGGTGGGGAAAAGAAAAGGAGAGAAGGAGGGAAGAGAAGGAATGAATGAATAAGGGAGAGGAAAGAGAAATGAAAACTCCAAAACACAAGTCTAAGCACCACAGGAAAAAATAAAAACCACTGAATGAGCATATGCCAATTCAGACGCTACTCCAGACCCCTGCCACCAACTAACTCCCTTCTAAACAACCCAAAAACCCCTCAAAAACCACAAATTGGGGCTGGATGGTGAGGAAAATGACTAAGAAAGGGCAAAAAAAAGATAACTCTGGGGGGGTTAAACCATTGTACCTCTCGACAGTAGTAATCTCATGAGTATATTTTGCTGACCACATTCATCAAATTATATACTTATAATTTTACATTTTATTGCATATAAACTATGCCACAATTTGTATTAAGAGCATACAGAAACCAATCGGTACACCTGACTGTTTTATTGGGCCAGTGCTGGGTCTGTTTTCTTTCAGATACTTTCTGTCTTCACTATTCTGTTTCATTCAAGGAGTCAAGTCTCCAGGCTTCTGATAACCATCTATCTGCTAATAGCCATTGAAAGGCCATCTACATAGGTAACTGGAGGATGGGGAGAAGGAAGAGACCAGGCAACTTTGTCTGCTCTTTCCTGGCTTGGGGCACCTCCAGCCACAGATGGTTCTCTTTCATAAACAGCTCCCAGCAGGTTGCCTCCAGGCTACTCTGATATCTTGCCTTCTGGTAATTTCACCTGTGTTCTAGACCTCTCCAGATAAAGGGTGGCAGCAGTTTCCTACAGCTGCTAATTTCTAGGGTGCCTCCTGATTTTCTGACTCCCTCTTCAACTCTCTCATTCCCTGTGC